GGTCGGGAAGGGAGCTAGGGAGGGATGGTCACTGAAGAAGGCAAAACAGGTATAAATCATTGACATAGTAGCTTTTAAGTACAAACGCATAGGACATTCCGTCTTTACCTCATCAAGCAAAAAATCAACAGCAGCTTCATCTTCAGCAGTATCCTTAAGAGTGGTCTTAAGAAAATGAATGTCCAGCTGAATTTGTTGAAATCCACTTCGGTTAAAAGTCTGAAGTCGGACAAATTCTTGTAAACTCTTCAAGAAAAGTTTGATAATAGCAGTTACGACGGATTCCTGCACATTAAGTAATTCTTATTCAATGATTTCTAAAATTATTGCAGGTTGTTAAGTTACAAACACTAGAACCAAACCTGTGTGTGTTCAACTTTAGTAAAAATTTCCATCTTCTGCTTGAACAATTTTGCTAAATGGGACTCAAAAAGCTGACTCCTGGCCTTTTGGGTATTTGAACGTACCAATTTATCATCTCTCAATGGATTACTACGAGAAGATGTATTACTCCCGTTGGTGTCTGTACGCCGATGCTTATGGTGGAGCCCTTCAGGCAATATTTGCTTTACTTCATTAAGGATTGTATCCAGCTGAAAATGAGATCAAACAGGAAAAGGTTAAGTTTTCAACTAAACTATTGTCATATTGTTGTTGTACTATTATTGGAGAAGAAACTGTAGTGTGTCATATAAGTTAAAAGGTGCCACTTTTCGCCCCTCTTGGTGCTTCAGTATCCTATTACAAAAACCTGATCTTGGAACAGGAAGAGAAGACGAAACACGCAGCACTTACCTCCTGGAGAAGCAGATCAATGAACATATGAACTTCCCTGGGCTCTTTGTGCTATACAAAGAGGGAATAGAAATAGGGATGTAGGGCAAAATTAGCACAAGCCATCATTATAATGCGCTTAACAGTGATTAGTGTTAGCTGACGATGTCTGCTTACCTTAACCCAATTGGGTGTTGCAAACCTCTTCTTCAACAGAATCAGTATCTTCCGAGTTTTCATGCTTATATACTGAAGCAGGAGATTGAAATAGAGTTAAAACTCAGTTTTTTTTTAATTATTATTATTTTTTATTAAACTCTAGTTAAAAAGTAACTCAAAGTTATGAGGAAAAAAAAGATTAAACTCTATTAGCTATCTACCAACGAAGGTAATAAAAAAATATCACAAGCTTCATTTTCATTAATATAAATAACATAATTCATACAGAAAAATTTAGCACCGTATGCTCAATGATTCAGGTGCTCCAATTTTCACAATAAAATGGAGAATAGTAATTTAAATGGAAATGACTGACAAAGTTTGCAGGCTAGACCTAAAATTGATTCCCAGAAAAAATAAATTCATATATCCAAAACAAAAAAATATTGTTTTTGTGACTAATCAAATGAAATAAGAATAATGGTTTTGTAACTTATCAGAAAAGCAAAAACAATGGAAATGCTGTTTTTGTATACTGCAATAACCTCTCTGTCCCAATGAAAGACTCTGGCAGTATACATTTGCAATGACATAAGTTTATCATCGAAGGCCTAAATGGGTATCAAAGCTACTAAATACAATTATGAAACAGCAAAAACTAGACAAAGTAAACTTCCTCTATAGATCAAATAAATTAATCCGTACACCTCTGGCAAAGTCAACCAGTAAAACAAAAAACAGGGAGATGTTTGTGGAAGTACGAAAATGTTCAGAATTCAGATACATACATGCTGCAAGAGTTCTTCACCAGCTGATTGAAAGATAAGACAGATTTCTGCAGGAATAAAAGCTGGACCATTGTCATGGCCCCGAGACCCACCACCAGACAAAGAAGATATTTCCTGAAATTTTGAGAAATTCAAAAAGCTCATTTAGATGGGGCAGATAAGGTAACTGTACTGAGGTAATGATTAGACAACTCCTTGCCTCGCTAATTCTGGTAATGGCATTTTGCTCAATGAAAACAGAGAGCTGAGCCAGCAAAAGAACAAGCCCAGGAAGTACTTTATCACCCTCCCCAAAGATAAGGTCCTGATTAGCTGAATATTTCTTTCCCGACAGCACGAGAAATTGATCATTAAGCTTCCCGAAGAAGTCCTGAAATCCTTCTTGCACCCAGTCAATGATAAAGTCTGTCAACGCTGATAGCACTTCCAAGTTCTCATCAAGAAGTCGACGAAAATCCTGTTATACGAAAAATCAAAGTAAAAGTACAATAAGTACACAATTAACTGGAAATCTAGAAGCTGCACTCTGATAGAGTGTATCTGAAGTCAAGATGCAATGGTGCTAGTTTTAACCATTGCTACTTTCTGATCTTATAGTTTTTTCCAGAATAAAAAAATTTAGGAGGTATGCTCAGTCATTTTCGCAGCATCTTTAGTACAGTTGTGTCACCTTCCTGATATTTTTGGCATCATAAAATTTTTCTGTCTGTTACTTGAGATCAAACTTAGAGTGACCCTTTATAACAGCAAAGATCGAAGTAGGTCAGTAGTTATAGCGGCAGAAAATTTTAATGCGCCCTCATGTCATGTAGTAATATAACTTCATCAGTAAAGACTTTGGTTCACAGTACTCCACTATTCAAGAAGCTCTAGATGCATATCACAGAATAATCCACATGAAAAAGAACTCACTCGGTGTTACTGGTACATGGTTCTTACCTATACCTTGTAAAACAATATCATTTTAGTTCCCAAGGGATTCGCCAACACTATAGCTCCATTCATAGGTTTGGTGGAAATCCTCTTTGATCTAGTAATTCCACATGTTTTCTACAATTCTTAAATCATTCTCTGGGTAGAATCAAATGGTGAAAGAAAAGAAATACGGAGGCTAGGGTACGAAACCAATCATCAGAAACCAGCTTTAAGAACCAGTCCCACTGAAAACTAAAAGGACAGCAGCTTTGATAATCTTTGAACCTACTTATGAATTTTTGATACAGAGATTCACGATTAGTTCTTAATTCATATAAAGCCACAGAACTACTTTTACCAGTAAGGCATCCATGCTGCCTTGAACTAATGCATTTTTGCTGATCTCAAGGGCAGCCTGCAAAGGATACTCTTCCTCAATTACACCCTTTTGATTATCATGAACTTTTACAAGAGTGCCTGCCAATTTAAAAGAAAGTAAAGCAACAGTCAAACTCGGACTGGTTTAGAGCTCATGTCAAACAAGTGGTTTAATATTAAAGGTCATTTTCTTTGATAGAACTAATGTACCATCTAAAGGAAGTTAAGATTTTGGATTAACCCAAATAATATCATAAAAAGATAGTCACAATTTGTGCATTAAATTCTGAATGTCAGATGATACAACATATAAGATGGACCTCAGACTTCTGAAGAATATTTGCCAGTTTTTATCCTCTAAAAGACAAATGATAATCTAATTATTTTGGTTATCTTCTTGATAAACTTTGCTAAATCACGTCACGATTCACAAGATCCAATATAGGACAGAGTAGCTATCTAAGAAGAAATAATGAGGTTCTGGATTTACTTTGTGCAAATTAGTAGTTTTCCGTTTTACACACCCTTCTTAAAAATTCCGTTACATCTCTTAAACCTAAAAACTAGCATATTTAGTATGAGTCAAGTTTTAGATTTTTTATCCAGCAGTGCCAGTTTAAAAGGATATACCTGAAAAATCGAGCAGAAGATGACTAAATCTGCTAGCAACATATTGTTTGATAGCAACATGAGCAGCCTAAAACACACAGGATTTATCAGATATACCAAACCCATCACTGTAACAACAGACCTCAGTCGAACAAGATGAATCCATATAGTGTTCATTTCTATTATAAGCAACCTCAAATGTAAAATCACGTAGACCAGCCTCTGGCAGCACTTCATCCATCAGAAGCACATTTGTCCAAGTTACCCCTGAGGAAAAATTGTGTGTAAAAGAACAATTTGCATCAGACCATAATTAGCAGTCACTACGTGCATAAGTGGTGTCTACAAAGAGCCAACAACAACAACAACAACCCAGTAAAATCCCACTAGTGGGGTCTGGGGAGGGTAGTGTGTACGCATACCTTACTACCCGAAGGAGTAGAGAGGCTGTTTCCGAAAGACCCTCGGCTCAAAAAAACAAAAAGAAAAAAGAAGACAATATTAGCAATACCACATAAATCATAGAAAAAATAGGAAAAACATAAAATCCAGAAGAAAGATGCAAAGCAAAAGCGTTAGTATTGCGATCAAAAATGAAAAGGTAGAAAAGTAAAACGAAAAGTGCTAAGCTTAAATAAAGCACGAAAAACTAATAGTTATACATACACACACACGCTCGTCAATCAATAACCATGAAAACAAACAACAATTATAAGGGTAGAAGAATTGGAAGACTGTAATTAAAAGAAATATATGAAGTTAAAAACCGAGTCAATTTTTTTTTTTGGGTGGGGTGGG